CAGATTTTTGAAGCCAAAACATGTAGGCTAACCTAATACTGATCGATATTATAAACAAGGCTACTACAGTAATCAACTGGTTCTTCAGAAATTTTCATGACGTGAACTGAAATAAATTCTTCTGGAGGTTATCAAATTGCCTGCCCATTACTTCACGGCTGTATAATTATTAAGACTATCATTCTGACATTACATGTGATAAATTGATAATTATACTCTACTGAATTTTAGACAGTTCCTTTGAAAGCATTCTTCACAAATGCTCAGTTTCTTTCAAAATGCAATGTTTGTCCTGGAAAAAAGCCTCTATTTTGTTACACTGATGTGTTAAGATTTCTTGTGTATACTATTTGTTCTTCTAGAAATTAATGACTGCTGAGAAGTTTTTCCAGGATCTGTTCTAATAGTTTTGCAATGAAGAACACTACCACTACTATACTCATAAACTTCCTGGAATTTGTTAAGAGTTATTTTCCTCAGCTGTCTTGTATCAGAATTTAGCCCTTAAGAGCAAGTCGTTTGCTTCAGTAAGAGGGCATATTGTGTAGTCCAAACTTCTCAAGTACGGCAGCTACTTGAAAATCTCCCATGCAATGTATTTCAGTTTTTCACAGGACAGAGTTTAAAATGAGGACAAGGGCAATATAAGAATGTCTTAAAGTTTTACAACATTCTAATCTTCAGAAGTGTTATAATTGTAGACATGAGAACTGTGAGCCTGTTAGGACTGGCTACAGAATAATTAATTGAAACAAGCTGTATCAATCCATGAAGTGATCTTTCATTTATAGAAGTATATTGAGGCCAGAATTTACAACTTGGTTTCTTTGACCTTGTTTTCTGATTCGAATTATTATATAATCAACACATTACAATTAAATACTGGATTAAATACAATGTGAAAAGCCAAGCTCACAATGAAAATGCTATACTAATTCTTTATAAAAGCTCAAGGCCATGTCACATTCTAGTACAGTGATGGCGAACCTTTTAGAGACCGAGTGCCCAAACTGCAACCCAAAACCCACTTATGCATCATCAGGTGCCGGGTGGGCGTGGCCCATTGCGTGGGTGTGGCCCATTGCGTGGGTGTAGCCCATTAGGTGGGCATGGCTGCGGTGGTAATGGCAGACTGGGTGGGACTAAAAAGCTCAATCAATCAATTCCAACTTTGCGAGATCTTTTTTCTTCCCAGGAGAAGTTGAAATTGATTGATTGATTGAACTTTTTTTTTTGTACACAGTGGCGGAGGCCTAAAGCGAAAAGGTTTTATAAAACCCAGCTGAAGGCCTAGAACTGGGGCAACGGTGCGCGTGCCCACAGAGAGGGCTCTGAGTGCCGCCCCTGGCACCTGTGCCATAGGTTCGCCACCACTGTTCTAGTATCACACAAAAACAATCTATTTGGCTACATTTTTCAGAAAGATGCTGTGAATTGAATACATGTTCAAGAGCATCAACTATAGAAGGCTCATCTAGACAGCAGTATCACAAGTAGGACTATATATAGCAGTGGTGGCGAACCTATGGCACGCATGCCAGAGGCGGCACTCAGAGCCCTCTCTGTGGGCATGCACACTGTTGTCCCAGCCTCGCCTCCCCCTCCTCACCAGCAGCCCCCCCAGAGGAGAGTCGCCCCTGGGTGCAGCCTGCACAGAGCAGCACAGCCAAGGACATGGCAGCCGGGCAGCGAGGACAAGACTCTGCCCTCGTGCCCTGTCGCGTAGAGATGATGCTGCAGAGCGCAGGCGGAGGGCGTGGTAGCCATGGTGCTGCTGGCCCAACTGGGCGATCTGCGGCGGGCCGTGGAGGCGGTGGGTGGCCCTGCGGGCAGGTGGGGAAGGGCAGTTTTGGGGCACTCGGTCTCTAAAAGGTTCGCCATCACTGGTATATAGGTTACTCACCATTTATTATTTCTAAAATTTCCATCTATCTTAGCACATATGTTTTAAATACTGGATTAGTATATTCTTTTTCAGCAATGCCTACTATACATAGCCATCATGAGCAAGATCAAGGAAGGAGCTATACAGATTTTTCTTCATCCTTATGTACCCACCATGACATAAATTGTTCAAAAGCTAGCTCACTGATAATTGGAAATATGCGATCACTAAGAGCTGACATCAACTTGATGGCCATAATCAATCAAAACCAATCAACCTGATACATCCATGGTTGGCAAGTCACGGGTCGATAGCCCAAATAAACTTGTTTTTCCTCTGGCATGAATAGAATTCCAAGTAGACCAAACAATGCAGCAGACTCTACTCTTTAAGTAATAACATCAATCTTTTTTAAAGTAAACTTTCTAAATTTTTACAAAGACCCCAATCTACATAGCTTCTACACTTAGGATCACACATACAGGTGAAACTCGAAAAATTTGAATATCGTGCAAAAGTTCATTTATTTCAGTAATGCAACTTAAAAGGTGAACCTAATACATGAGATAGACTCATTACATGCAAAGCAAGATAGTTCAAGCCGTGATTTGTCATAAGTGAGATGATTATGACTTACAGCTCATGAAAACCCCAAATCCACAATCTCAGAAAATTAGAATATTACATGCAATCAATAAAACAAGGATTGTACATAGAACAATATCGGACCTCTGAAAAGTATAAGCATGCATATGTACTCAGTACTTTGTTTGGGCCCCTTTTGCAGCAATTACTGCCTCAATGCGGCGTGGCATGGAAGCTATCAGCCTGTAGCACTGCTGAGGTGTTATGGAAGACCAGGATGCTTCAATCGTGGCCTTCAGCTCTTCTGCATTGTTCGGTCTCATGTCTCTCATCTTTCTCTTGGCAATGCCCCATAGATTCTCTATGGGGTTCAGGTCAGGCGAGTTTGCTGGCCAATCGAGCACAGTAATCCCATGGTCATTGAACCAGGTTTTGGTGCTTTTGGCAGTGTGTGCCTCTCCTTTCTTCCTCCAGACTCTGGGTCCTTGGTTCCCAAATGAGATGCAAAAGTTGCTCTCATCAGAAAAGAGGACTTTGGACCACTGAGCAACAGACCAGTTCTGTTTTTCTTTAGCCCAGGTAAGACATTTCTGACGTTGTTTGTTGTTCAGGAGCGGCTTGACCAGAGGAATACGACATTTGAAGCCCATGTCCAGGATCCGTCTGTGTGTGGTGGCTCTTGATGCACTGACTCCAGCCTCAGTTCACTCCTTGTGAAAGTCCCCAACGCTTTTGAATGGCCTTTTCCTGACAATCCTCTCCAGGCTGCGGTCATCCCTGCTGCTTGTGCACCTTTTTCTTCCACACTTTTCCCTTCCACATAACTTTCTATTAATGTGCTTTGATACAGCACTTTGGGAACATCCAACTTCTTTTGCAATTACCTTTTGAGGCTTTCCCTCCTTATGGAGGGTGTCAATGATGGTTTTCTGCACAACTGTCAGGTCAGCAGTCTTTCCCATGATTGTGATTCCTACTGAACCAGACTGAGAGACCATTTAAAGGCTCAGGAACCCTTTGCAGGTGTTAGCTGATTAGAGTGGGACACTTTGAGCCTGGAATATTGAACCTTTTCACAATATTCTAATTTTATGAGATTGTGGATTTGGGGTTTTCATGAGCTGTAAGCCATAATCATCTCACTTATGACAAATCACGGCTTGAACTATCTTGCTTTGCATGTAATGAATCTATCTCATATATTAGGTTCACCTTTTAAGTTGCATTACTGAAATAAATGAACTTTTGCACGATATTCTAATTTTTCGAGTTTCACCTGTAGCTGGATACAGCTTGGTTGTTGGAACGAATAGGGATGGGGCTTCCGTTATGCAAGCGTTTTTCAAACTTGGCAACTGCGTGGAGTTCAATTCCCAGAATTCAGCAATTTACAGACCAAAACTATACATTTATAAAAACGATTCTTAAAAAGAATTGGTCAAAAGTCCGCACAACTTAAAAGTTGCCAAGTTTGACAACCGCTGCTTTAGGCGTTCTTCTGGTGGAAGGAACCCTGGGTTTTAAATCTAGAAATGCTACAATATTTCTCGGCATTGTAAAATCTCCTGGTTCAGGTTCACACGATAGGCTGGCTCCCTTTTGCTTTATTCAACCCGATTTTCTGGGTTCGCCTGGCAGACCAAATAAACGACGCACGCTGAATTGCGGGCGGCTGGATGCGTTAGCTTCGGAGAACCAAAACTAGAAAATGCATCGCCGCACACACACACACACACACACACACACACTCAGGGAAGAAATGCCGAAATCGCGAACAAAAATCCCCTTCAATCCGCTCAACCTGGCCGCGTAACTCAGCTAAAACGGAACTTGAGGGTTCATCGGGTGGAGCTGCCGCCGCGGAGGTCCCCCCGCCCAGAGCCACGCGGCCCCGACCCTCGCGCAAGAGAAAGAGGGAAAGAAAGGAAAGTCCCTAAACGCGCGTGGCCACCCGGGGTCCCGCCTTCTACTGAACCTCCGGGGTGGTTCGGGAGCGAGCGAGCGAGCGCGCGCGTGCGCTCCTCCCCCTCGCCCTTCCCTTCTTCTGGAGCGGACTGACTGGAAGTGGCGTACGTGCAAAGCAGAGCCGGAGAGTGGCGGCGCAAGCCACGCCCCCAAGGCCCGGGCAACGGTGAGAGGAGGAGGAGGAGGAGGAGGAGGAGATAGGCGAGGGGGAGAAGGGCTCGCGCCGGCAGCGGATGCGTCTTTCGCTTCTCCCGCTGCCTGAGGAGGCGGAGGAGGAGGAGGCGGAAAAAAGGAGCCGCGGAGGTAGAGGACGCCTCAACACCCCATTTACCGAGGCTGCTATGGGGCGGCGGTAGGAGGGCGCCTCTGGAAGCGGCAGGCGAGAAGGCGGCGGGGTTTGGTGGCGGTCCTCCGCCCATCAGGAGGAGAGGAGGAGGCGGACGGAGCAGCAGAGCCGCGGCGCAGCTCCGACGGGCAGGGGGCGGCCATGATGAAGTGAGCCACTCGCCGCTTTCCTGAGGCCGCGGAAAAAACAGGGGCGACCGAGGAGGGGGGACGCGAGAACATGGCCAATGACAGCGGTGGGAGTGGCAGCGGCGGCGGCGGCGGGGGGGCCGGCCAAGGCGGGGGATGCGACGGCGGCGGCAGCGGCAGCGCCGCCAGCCAAGAGCGGGACCGGCAGTACTGCGAGCTGTGCGGGAAGATGGAGAACCTGCTCCGTTGCGGCCGCTGCCGCAGCTCTTTCTACTGCAGCAAGGAGCATCAGCGGCAGGACTGGAAGAAGCACAAGCTCATCTGCCGGGGAAGCGACGGCGGCGGCGGCGGCGGCTCCCTGGCGGCAGAAGGGGGCGCTGCTGAGCCTCGAAAGTCCGCCGGCGGCGGCGGCAGCGGCGGCGGCGACCAGCCCTTCCACCAGGGCGCTCGCCACGGCCGCCCGCCTGCTGCCGGAGGACGGGACGGCGAGGAGCGGTCCTCCAAGAAAGCAACCGCGCTCCCCGCCAAGCCGCCGCGGGACACCAATTCGGAGGAGAGCGTGGTGGTAACGAACAACCACGTTGCCAAAGTGGCGCCAGGAGCCCGAGCGCAGGAAGAGGAGGAGGAGGAGGACAAGGAAGCGGTGGTTGCCGCGGCAGGTCCGGCCGTGGAGGCGGGCCACTTCTACCGGGATAAATCCAATTTGACGGGCGAAGCGTCCCTGCGCCCCAACGGGCAGATGAAGTCGCTGGTGCCTCAGCGCCTGGCGTTGGAGTACATCGTGCCCTGCATGAACAAGCATGGCATCTGCGTGGTGGATGACTTTCTGGGCAAGGAGCTGGGCGGGCAGATCGAGCAGGAGGTGCTTGCCTTGCACCACACTGGACGCTTCACCGACGGGCAGCTGGTCAGTCAGAAGAGCGATTCCTCCAGGGACATTCGTGGCGATAAAATCACCTGGGTGGAAGGCAAGGAGGCCGGTTGCAAAACCATCGGGAAGCTTATGAACAGTATGGACGATCTTATACGCCACTGCAATGGCAAACTGGGTAACTACAAAATCAACGGCCGGACGAAAGTGAGTGGCACCCTCCTCCTCTTTCTTGCCATCCTGTAGTCGTGGTACTTAAGCAGCTATCTGAAGTGAGGCCTTTCTTTATGTTCCCTAAGCATATTTATTTTTAGGACGGTTCAAACCAGGGGTTCTCAACCTTGGCAACTTTAAGACTTGTGGACTTCAACTCCCAGAATTCCTCAGCCAGCTTTGCTGGCTGAGGAATTCTGGGAGTTGAAGTCCACAAGTCTTAAAGTTGCCAAGGTTGAGAACCCCTGGATAGATTAATTGAAGGCCTCAAATTGTGGGTGAGCGATAAGGGGCGGAGAAAGATTGTGAGAGACCTTCTATGAGAGATCCTTGAGGATTTCTTAATTTTTGTATGCATGGGGTTAATCCCAGCTGAATGTAGTAGAACTTCAATCCTTCTGATTGAATAATTATGTATTAAATAAGCACTTGGTTAATGAGTGAAGGCAATGGTTAAACCAGTGGTGGCGAACCTACGGCACGGGTGCCAGAGGCGGCACTCAGAGCCCTCTCTGTGGGCACGCGCGCCGTCGCCCCAGTCCTAGGCCTTCAGCTGGGTTTTATAAAACCTTTTCGCTTTAGGCCTCCACCGCCGTGTACAAAAAGAAAAGAAAAAGGTTCAATCAGTCAATTTCAACTTCTCGCGGGGAAAAAAAGATCTTGCAAAGTTGGAATTGATTGATTGAACTTTTTAGTCTCACCCAGTCTGCTGTTACCATTGCAGCCACACACACCCAGCACCCGACAATGCATAAGTGGGTTTTGGGTTGCAGTTTGGGCACTCGGTCTCTAAAAGGTTCACCATCACTGGGTTAAACCATCCAAAACCTTTATCAAATGACCATGTGATAAAACTTGTTTTTGCTTCTAATTCAACCATAATACCATTTTAAAATTCACAGAGGAGAAATGAAGACAAAACATTGAAAAAACAAGTTTTTCCCTATCACCAATTGATGCCACAGTTATATATATATATTTTCATATAATCAACTAATGCCACAGTTGTGTTTCAGAGCATGTGTTGGAGTGATTGAAATGAGGCTCTTGTAAAGTGAGGTTCTGCTTTGTAGCTGAGTAAAGTGTGGGGGGAAAAAACAGTAAAATAGACCATAGTGCCAATATGTGGGCTGTTTATCTTCTCTCATTTTACCCATATGCCTATAATAGTATATAGATGCTAAATGTTGAATTAGCTAGAACTACAATATTTATCATGATGTAATCCTGGGGAATTTGAATTTACTGCTTGACAGTCTATTCAGTCTTAATTATTTTGTAATGCTAAAAGTACATCTTGTTACCTATAGCACGAGGCTCTTAATGTCAATATTGCACAATTATACTTACTGAGGTTTAGTAATTATTTCTTCTAGTAAACTGAAAAGGCATTCTTTACTTTGGATATTATGGCAGGCATAAAATTAGTTTTTAATTTTCTTTTAGGACCAAATACATTTTTTTGATCTCATATTGATATAAAAGATCAAAGTTTCATGGTGTTACCACATTACATAACAGCAGAACTGTATTATGATTAGACAGTATTATAAATCTTTATGGTGGTTTTGTTTCTTTGCACATGATAGAGGTAAACTAATGTAGATGAGCAACAGTTCTTTTTAATATATAAACATTTGATTAGGCTAGTTGAAGATGAAGAAATTGCCTGGATTATATGCTCTCTTCTCAGTCTGTAACCAAGAGGATAAAGCAAATTTTGATAAGGATTAACACTTGAATATTTATTGGAAAGAACTGAGTGGAAAGAAATTATCAGGTTTAAAATACAGACAATATCCACTCATTAGAAAAAGTGTTGGGATATATGCTGATATTATAAACATTTATAATTATCAGTGATAGAACTAATAAAGTGCTGCTTAAGTCCAGTATGATAGAAAAGTTGCATCTTTGCTAACCATCAGTTAAAATATAATTGGGTAGCACCATTGTTTAAAATGTTTCATGATTAGGTAAGTATAATTTTAGGGAAAAGGCTTCTGTCCCCATTTTTCTATAAATCATTGTGCTAGGAAATCATAGGTAATCAGGTCTGGTTTTATTTTGTTTATTTTTTGTCCACTTAAGAATATACTTTTGAAGAATACAGTTAATATAAAGAGTCAGGAGAAGAGTCATCTACACTTTTGTGTCCCACATATATTAAGAAAAAATATTTATTGTAGTTTATAAAATAGAACAAACTGGTACATAATCTGAATTATAAATTCCTTAAATCTGTTTGTTAGACAAATCATGTTATTTGGTAGCTTTTGAACCTGGTGGGAATAGTGCATTTGATAGTGCTAAGAAAAAGACTATGTGAAAGCCCTTCTAGAGTTTTTATGGGCAATTGAAGAAAAAAAAATCATTTAAGGCTTGCGTGGAATATTTTCCTGAAATATGAGTGTGTATATTACAGCCATGTAGCAGTTTAGATTTGAAGACACAAACCCATATCTTCTCCCAGAATTGCGCAGCAGTTTCAGAGGGCAACCCTCCTGAACAAAATCCCAAGAAAAGAGGTAAGGCTGCTTTAGGAGATGCTACATTTGCTCTCTGAGATCTGGACTATCTTGTGCCTTCGAATCAAAACCTATGCATAGGCTTATAATTATACATGAAAATAATTTATGGAAGAACTGTGAAGTCAAAGTAAAATGAAATGTAGAATCGGTTACAGATTATGTAATGATCGTATTGAGAAAAATAACATTTTTATTTTTTTTCTATTCAAGCTGATTTGACATATGTGAACAATATTTTATTTACAGGAAATAGTTAAACTTCTTAGTGAATGCTGGTGAGCAGGAGTAGCTGAGATTACTACTCAAACTGTATTTGCTAAAATTTCACTTCAGATGCTTTAGAACACATACCTTTCTTCTCCTCATTCCATTTTTTTTTACTCCTGTTATATAAAATTCAAATTTCTTTATACGGTTTTTCTTATATTCAACTGAATGTTTATTCCAGGGGGTCTTCAAACTTGGCCCTTTTATGACTTGTGGACTTCAGCTCTCAGAATTCCTTAGCCAGCGTGCCTGGCTGAGGAATTCTGGGAGTTGAAGTCCACAAGTCATAAAAGAGCCAAGTTTGAAGACCTCTGGTTTATTCCATAACATGCTACCTTTGTATGTAGTGCGGTGACTTCAATGTGTCAGACTATTTCTGCTTTCAAAACTCTTTTCCCCCCCTCTCATAACAGGTAATCCTCGACTTACAACCTTTTGTTTGGTGACCATTTGAAGTTACAACAGCTCTGAAAAAATGCTGTTGACCATTATGACCATTATTTACATTTACAACCATTGCAGCATCCCCATGGTCACATGATCAAAATTTGGAAGCTTGGCAACTGGCTCATATTTATGACGGTTGCAGTATCCTCGGGTCATGTGATCAACCTTTGTGACCTAACAAGTAAAATCAATGGGGAAGTCAAATTCACTTAACAACTGTCTTGCTTAGCAACATAAATTTAGGGCTCAATTGTTGCAAGTTAAGGACTACCTATATTTCTTAAATGAACTTGTTTTATCTAGCTTTGTTACTTTTCAATTTCATTTTTTAAAATTTCGTTCCATACTGTAATTTTGTCAATTTAATATAACTTACAACTATTTATGAAGGAACCATGATACATTTGTGTGCTACGTAGAAGTTAGCATACTTTTAGGGGAAAAAACAGGTATTATTGCCTATTGATATATTAATATTAACCATAAGTTGTCATCATATACCTTTGAGTAAGTCTCATAAGCTTAACTTTAGTAAAATATTTTGTTTTGAGTGAACAACTATTTAAAAACTCAGGATTGTTAAAAGGGTAATATAAAAACCTTTGATGTAAAGTACTACTTAGAAACCTTTGTTTTATATAAAATATTCTTTGTAGAAAACAAGCATTTGCAAAATCATATGTATCACACTATCTAATAATAATAATAATAATAATAATAATAATACAGTTGGAAGGGACCTTGGAGGTCATCAAGTCCAACCCCCTGCTCAGGCAGGTAACCCTATACCAGGGGTAGGCAACCTTGGCTCTTTTATGACTCGTGGACTTCAACTCCCAGAATTCCTGAGCCAGCATGGCTCAGCTTGGAAACCTCTCCCTTTCCCCTCAGCATGGCTGGCTCAGGAATTCTGGGAGTTGAAGTCCACGAGCCATAAAAGAGCCAAGGTTGCCTACCCCTGCCCTATACCATTTCAGACAAATGGCTGTCCAGTCTCTTCTTAAAAACTTCCAGGTTGTTCCACTGGTTAATTGTTCTAACTGTCAGGAAGTTTCTCCTTAGTTCTAAGTTGCTTCTCTCCTTGATCAGTTTCCATCCGTTGCTTCTTGTCCTGCCTTCAGGCGCTTTGGAGAATAGCTTGACTCCCTCTTCTTTATGGCAACCCCTGAGATATTGGAACACTGCTATCATGTCCCCCCTCATCCTTCTCTTCGTTAAACTAGACATACCCAATTCCAGCAACCGTTCCTTATATGTTTTAGCCTCCAGCCCCCTAATCATCTTTGTTGCTCTTCTCTGTACTCTTTCTAGAGTCTCAACATCTTTTTTACATCGTGGTGACCAAAACTGGATGCAGTATTTGCTGCCCTTAGATGCAAGTACACTCTAAATGAATTTTGCTTATTTGAAATGAAGAAGCTAAGGGTAGCTTAAAATGGCAGGCTTGCAAGTCACTTTTGAGAGTTGGCCACTCATCTAGTATCCCTTCTACCTGTTCTAGTTTAATCCTGTAATAAGGTAACTCAAAACTTAATTTATTTTGAACACATTTTGCAGTTCTGATTTTAATGTCATAAATGTGTTGGTCAACTTTGCATTAGATCCATTTGTCCTATTAATTCACTTATTTTAAAGGTCAGTAAGTATTTACCATAAACGTAGATTTCTATAAAGTTGTTTTTATTCCATGTTGTTGCTTTTTATATACCAGCAAAATTGATTGGAGCCATATAACTGTTTGAAATATAT